AAATCTGAATGAATTAAACTTTAGTGCGCATAGTTACTGAAAAATGAACTCAGCGGTTAAATTATGGATAATTTATCTGAGCTAACGAGGTACAGCATGTCAATATTGACAAACGTTTAAGCATTTATATGTTTGCTGCTGCTTCTTACTTACATCATCAGGTCGCGGTAATGCAGTTAAACATCACAGTTCCACAATAACAATGCAGACTGACAGGCTGTGAGCCTGAGTCCCCTGCTCAGCCTGATTAAGTGTGAATTAAACGAAGTGTGAATTAGAGAAATAAAAAAATGAAAATGAAATGTCTAACTGTGCGTGGTTCCTGAAGCAGTCCTCCTTGATGTGTGGGCTCACAATATAATGTCTGGAGCGGTGGAGAACCGTGGAAAAACGAAGATGATTTCTGCAGGAAATTAAGAACGCTGTCTTCTCGGCATGGCTACAAAACTAATGAAAAGTCTGAATTATAAGTAGTTATGTGCTGTGCCTTGTGTGGGGCAAGTATTGATGTCAATAAGACCAGGAAGTAATGTCTGGACCCCCAACGAGGCGTTTCATACAAAGGAGAAAAAAGAAGTTTTTACTCTGACAGAGTTTCTCCCTTTGGTGTAAACTGTGATCCTTGTGACTGTGGAGACCATTTACATGCACAAAAACCTATTTAACACACTACATGTGAGGAAAAACTCAGAAGAGCATAAAAGGTCCCCTTTAAAAAATACAAACAGTTATTTCTGATTAATGAGCATCATTTGGAACAGATTTTTGTTTGTCAGAGTATAACTGGAGCTGTATGTCAGATGAAAGAGCCAAAACACAGAGACCAAAAGTTTCAACATATTTGTAGGTCAAGAAAAAAAAAAAAAACTCTCTTCAGAGACCAATCACACTCAGACACCCACACGTAAAGAACCATGTGTTTCCTCCTGAGGTTTTAGTTTATGTTCCTGGATCGGTGACTCTGTAAACACATTGGCCACTAAGATCCGATCAAAGGCGGCGCAGACTAACAGTTTACAGAGGAACCAGGTCTCGTGGGTCAGAGTTTACATGTCTGCATTGAGTAATCATGGAAGTGAGGTATGGAACCGTCTCATTAGTGTCAGTGCTCTGTAATATTCACACAGCTTTGATCATGTTTGGTCTCCTTGTAACTGCAGCCAATGATCCGACAAACCAACATCCGCTCTGTGTTACGTGTCTGAGACCTTCATTGATAAGTTTCTGTATATTAGAAGCTGAGTCTGAAAACCAAAGAGAAAAACCAAAGGAAACTTGATGAAATAAAGAAGGAATCAGCGTTTCTTTCTAAAATATCTGTACATTGCAGCTATAGTTAGACCACCTTCATCCTTCACAGCTACATGTTGAACCACGACCCTTAACCAAACCTAAACCTAATCCTAAAACCTGAGGTTCAACATACCCAGGATAACTTTTAGTTATCTGGGCTTAACTGAACCTAACATTGACCGTCCTGATAACCTGTACTACGAAGCAGGTTATCAACTGGCTCAGTTAACCCTGGGTTTACCTGTCCGGCTACGAGCGCGTTCATGTGAAAGAGGCGGAGTTGTTTATTATAAGCAACATCATCTGAACCATGAATGAAGTTCTTAATATGATATGAGAAGAAACGCTGATACCTGCCAGTAAATTCGGTTATAACCACATCCAAAAGCGATATTCAACAAGGTGAAATGTATTATCACATAACTAGAATAAAAAAATAAATCTATAAATATAATACTATTAAAGTCAGATTAAGGAATATATTTTAAAATACGTGGATTGAATTTTATCATTTAAAGTTTCTTACTCAGTATTTTCTTCCTTTCAGTTCTGATGATGAACAAACTTTATGAACATGTGAAGCAGACTTAAAACAGTTAAAAGTTAATGTCAGACTGTTTCTGCTGCAAGAGAGGAGAGAAAGAAAGAGGAGATAAGTAAAGTGATGTCTTATGAGTCAGACCAACATTAACAGTGTACGGATCATGTTTTCTACCAACAAGGATAGACTTCAAAAACAACACACACACACACACACACACACACACACACACACACACACACACACACTCTAACCTGAGTCTCAGTCCTCTCAGGTCCTGCAGGGTGAACTCGTCTCCCTTCAGCAGCATTCGGCCCTGCAGCTCCAGTCGCCCATGACGAGCCGTCCTCTGGACCTTCACCCTCAGAGCCTCCTCCCTGCTGTCCCGATCCTGGACCAGGAGGTGCTCCTCCGTCATAAAGGCACCTCCGCCCTCCTCCACCCGCAGCAGGTTGGTGAAGGTCTGAGGATCCACAACAACAGGGGTCAAAATCAGGATATTCAAATGTCAGACTGAGCTCATAACATCCACCATCAAACGAAACATTCTCCTGGAGGTAAGAAGAAGCTCAGCCTCTGTGTGACCTCTGACCTCTGGTGCCTGGTCATCCACAGGGGTGATGGTGATGTTGAAGAGGAGGCCGGAGATGGTGCCACCGTGGTGGTCGCTGACGGAGAAGACAAACTGGACGAACAGTGGCGCCGGGCCGATGTCCTCCACAGGAGGCATGAAAGCCACTTTCATGTGGTTGACCGCATGCTGGGAGGAGACAGCAGGACAGGACGACAGCTTAAAGACACAGTAAGCTCCTTCAATCTCCATGTTTTTATACTTTATATCTACATCACAGTACAGTACAGCATCCACCCTGACAGGCTCAGCGCATTGGCAGCTGCTCAGCCTGAGTGGCGGAGGAAAATTCAGATCCTTTACTTGAATTAACGTCACACTGTCAATACTGCAGTCAAACAATCCTACACATCTTTTGTTCTCTTTATTTACTTACTGCCTCAGTGTTCTGTCACAACCACTGTTGTTTGGTCATTTTAGTAGTTGTATGTTGAATGAAACACTGATGTAATCATTCTTTAAATGCTGCCGCCGCCATTCGCCGCTATTAATGACAAGTACTGCTCTGTGTGTGATGTAGATGCAGCATTTTCTTCCAACAGATCTGGATTATTACTTGGATCTCAACACCATAAATATGCCTCTATATTTAAAAAAAAAAAAAGATTTCCTGAGGAACCGATGAAAACGTCAGTCCCTCCACCAAATTTGGTGCAAATCACTTCAGTAGATTTTGCGTAATCTTGCTTACCAATAAACAAACAGTTGAAAACAGTCCTGCATTGAGAATGTTTTTCAAGTAAAACTATCTAAATATGATCAGCAAAAGCATCAAAAGTAAAAATGCTATTATATTCAATATTATATCATTGGATCATTATCACTGATACATTAATGTGTGAGAATAATAGAATAATCAAGTGACTGTTTTGTCCAACCAACAGTTCAAACCTCACAATGATTTATAAATATATTTAAATGATCCAAATAATTAAAAACTGTCATGTTTGAGAAGCTGGAAACACTGTGGACAGTAAAGACTTCGTTAGAATGAATCTATTGTAACCTCAGTGAGGTAACAGTGAAGACAGCACAGAACCAGAACCACGCTGTCTGTGGGTTTCAGGCTGCAGTGAGTCTACCTGTGTGAAGGACTTTAACACCGGGACCATGTGGTCTCTCTTCATGGCGGTGGTGGTGTCTGTGTAGAACAGACGTCCTGCATCCATCAGCCTGAAAAAGAGGAGGCTCAGTTTCATTTCAGAGAGCTTCGTGCTACGCTATACGCGTCCTGGACTCTGCCTTGTCCTTACCCAGGATGCAGTGGGCTGAAGCAGGGCTGCGTGATGACGTAGGTCAGGTCGGTGCCCGGGTGTTCTCTGTCTGTGAAGTGGAGGTGAGTCTGAGTGATGTAAACCACCTCCGTCTCTTTCACCGTCAGAGAGCGTACGCTGCCAGGAACCTCCACCGGCAGCTGGTCCTTTACTGGGAACACATGGACCACCATGGTCTGCAAACAGAGGGGGGGGGGACTTTTCTAAAGAAGGGGTCTTCTCTGCAGGACTTCTCTACTCTCCAACAGAGTTATAATGTTTGACTCACATATGTCTGGGAGAGGTTGGGCGGCTGGTGGCTGTCGGACAGCGTGAAGTCGAAGGAGTCCTCGAACTGCTCCTCTCCTGAGTGCTGGTAGTAGATCTGACCCTGGATCAGGTCTCTCTGCAGGAAACTGTCCACTGGAACTCCTGCATGAGGAGCAACAAAGGAGGTTCACCATGTGATGAGGAAGCATCAACACAAAACCTCAGTCTACAACAAGAACACATACGCTCCACCCTCACCTGTCTCCTCGGCGGAGGTCTTCCTGACCAGCTGCCCCGCCCGGGGGGGGGAGCCTATTTGATAGAGGATGTAGTCGTCGCTGGAGTCCAGGTCGGAGGCTAACAGCATGTACTCCTCCAGCCTCACGGCCCCGCCCTCCTGCACCTCCACCGCCACGTTGTTGATGAGGAAAGGCGGAGAGTCATCTTTAGGCAGGATGTTGATGGGGAACTTGTGGCGGATGCTGTGGCGGCCGTCGCTGATGCGGAAGACGATGTGGTCGCGAGTGGTGTCGCTGTCGGAGTGATGGTAGACGACCACGCCCTCCCTCAGGTCCCGCACACGGAACATGAACGCCTTCCCACCTGGGAAGAAACAGAGACACAGGTGAAATGACACCTGACACACAGATTATGTTAAAGTTGAAATGTGGTTTTCTCGAGCTGCAGCAAGACTCCGACTTTACAACAGGCAGCATACATTTCCAATACTGTGTGGTAGAATGGAAACGACAGATTTTGTCAACAGTGAGTGTTGACAAAGTATGCATGAGTGTGTATGAGTGTGTATGAGTTTGTATGAGTTATGGTCAAAATGAAGTCTGACAGCAGACTCAATATCTACAACACAGTGACTGCCTCAACACAAAATCTGAGTCAGCAGGAAATAACCACAGTCACATTATAATACACTCACATGTGAATACTGAGTTACTGTTACAGTTTTATAATGACTGAAAGTTAAGAAGGTAAGTAAACATGAGGGACAAGAGGAGATTAATGTGATTGTTTTGTATCTTAAATTAAAAACATTTTTTAATTATATTTCAGATACATTTATACAATGATTAGCAACTTAAAAATAATGATTTTTTTATGGCCTGTGTCGGTGATGTAAGTTTAACTGCAGAATAAACAAGAAACAAAGAATAAGAAGAAGAAGAAGAAGTTAAATCCTCAACTGTGTTTAAATCTTACAAAAGAGTAGACTTTAGATTTGAGGAACTCAATAAACTGATTAAATGTAAACAAATTAAAATGTGGCTTCGACTTTTCATATTTGAGTTAAATCATAAGATCTAAAATAAAATTCACAGGTAGAACTTTAGGATTGGACAATAATTTAACAATCTTTTTCCCTGTTCTTTCAGTGAACTGTGATGATATGATCACATTATAATGGTCTTCATATGATTTAAGTCTCTAATTTACACATGACAAGAGAAAATAAATTCAATAATAAATAAATAAAACTGACAGAGGAACAGAATCTATTACATGACACATAAATGTGATTTATTAAAAAGTTTGCAATATCAATATACTGTATATTAATATTGACAAAATATTCTTAAGTTTTTAATATTGATTTCAACCACACTGTGTAACTAACATTTCAATGAAATAAGTGACTGAATATATATTTTTGTAATTTCTGTTATAAAATGGTCAAATTTAAAGGACAAATATTTGGACAAATTTCTTAAAATACAAGTTTAACAATCGAAAATATATATGCAGTTTTTTGTAGTTGTAGCTTCAGATAATTATAATACTGAATTTTATTCTGAAAGGCGGATTTCTGCTTCAAATGCAGAGCGAGGAGTCTGAACCCGTCGATGTTTATCAGTGTGAATAGTTGGACTAAACATGAGAAACTTCTCTGTCCTACATTAATGAAGTAGGCCATGTCCATCTGTCAGCTCTCTGCTGCTGGCTGGCCTTCCTCACACTGTACAACATGCTAACGTTAACAGCAGAGCGTCACATGACTGGCGGCCTACTGGCCGACATGTGTTGTTGTCAGCGAACGGCTCGGTTCCCAGCCAAAGCTTCGCACTTTGATTCAATTACCGTCTCCAACACATGCAGTGTTTTTTTTTTTTCTCCCATTGTCACTTGGAAATAACAAGTTTCTCTTAGCGCCTGAAGGCACCGTGAGGCGCTGGCTGGAGTTTGTGCTGTGAACACCGGTGGGGCAAAACATGGCGTCCTTCCCGGTGGCCGCCCGGTTGCCAGGATGGGGGGCTTCCTGTCTCCCTGCGCGTGCCAGAGAGACAGAAGGGCAAGGTCAGCAGACAGATTGAGAGACGAGCGGTCGCGAGCCCGAACCTCATTAGCAACTTTACCGAGGGGAACCGGCTACTGGTCCAAGTGATGGAAACAACTTGGTAATTAGGCCCAAAGGTGGCGTTGGGCAACAGGCCCATAAAGGAAAAAACGTGTGTGTGTGTGTGATACACAGAGAGAGGGGGAGTGTGTGGCAGGACAGGCAGCCATCCATTTGGCTGAAGGCGTTGGACGAAGCCTGCAGTGACTGTCCCTGCGCAGCAGCGTCACCGCCCCCCCCAGTTGCAGCATCGCGGGTCAGCAGCATCCTCCTCCTCTGAGACGCAGCTCCACCAGAGGACGTGTGACGAGAGCAGAGCCAAACTTTTGTTGTTTTACTGCTTCTTTACTAGAGCGGCGGATAAACAAGAGTCCAAACTGAGGAGGAGGAGGAGGAGGAGGAGGAGGAGGAGGAGGAGGGAAGGAGGAAGGGGAATGGGGAAAAATGCCTAGTGGAACAAAAGTTTCAACAACCAGCCAACTACTGTACTGTGTTATTAAACACTGCTGAAACAATCCGATCATTAATTCATCAGCTGACTGACAGAAAAATAATCTGTCACTACTGTGATAGTAATTTGTGAAGTTAAAATAATGAATCAAAGCCAAATACTTCCTGATTCCAGCCTCTGAAATGAGAGGATTCACTGCTTTTCTTTGTCATGTCACTGTCTGTTGGTTGAATAAAAAAAAATAAAAAATAAACATTTAAAGACGTCACCTTGGGCTCTGCAAAGTTTTGACAAAGTCTTGAAGTATCATTGACTTAATGATTAATCACCTAATTAAGTTAATTGATAATGAAAATAATCATTAGCTGCAGTTGCCTACATTTAAATATAGTTTGTCTGGAGAATTTTTGATGGGTGATGGTAAAAAGTGCAGATCCACTTTTTAGTGGTTGTTGAAGAAGCCAACGTTGACTGATGGTATTAAACAGTGTCAAAGTCACATGATTTGTTGACCCAACCATCTGTTTCAACCTGGAGGTTTCTGAGATGATCACTACAGGTCTCATCAGGTAAATATAACCTGAGGATTTTTGAGGTATTTGAACAAAGGACCACTGTTCTTCTCCTTCGACAGTTCATGTTCAGAGCTTTTTGAAAACAGGGGAAAATGTTTAACAAACACCATTTCCCAACATCCCTGGACGTTTGCAGGCTAAACGTTGCTGTAGACGTTTCCAGACAGCAGAGATCAAAACTACAAAGTAGAAAAGATGACCTCAGAAGAGAGAGGTGATGAGTTTTATGGATGTGGATGACACCTTGTTACGATGATGAAGCTGCCGAGCATGTAGTTTTCTTCGTGTGAGCTGTAGTTGAGACTGTGATCCGTTAAATCACGGAGGTTTCACTTTCTTACAGAGCCGCTGTAGTGGAGAGTAAACTCCACAAACAAGCTTAATTTCTTTTCCAGATAGACATAAAAGAAATCAGAGATTGTATTGTGTTGTTGAAGCTGGTCGAACACTACGTCATGACTTAAACTCTCTGTAACATTAAATTCATTTCCATCTGTAATATTTGTAGTAAGCTACAGTTATTTTGACTCTTTGACAGACTTTTTGGGCTTAAATTTCTGACCCTTTTACAAACCTACAACCTTGTAAACCCAACCTGGGGGTGAGGACCCCTCTGAGCGATAAATCTAAGGGGTCATGAAATGATTTAAAGGCAACAGGGGAAGAAACAATTATATCAGACTTTTCTTTAGTTTTTGTTTTTTTCTTGGGAAACACTGGATACTTTACAATAACAAGCCTCTAAAAATCATTTACATTTATTAACCTGAGGAGGAAAATGTTTTAAAGGGTCACAAGCCAGAAAGACTGGGAACCACTATCGTGAAGCCTCATCCCGTCACCGGTTTGGTGTTTGTTATGGGAACTGTAGCAGAAGCAGCAGCAAGTAGAAAGTTTAGGCCAGAAGAGTTGTGAGTTTGCTGTCAACCACACGAAGTGTATCCAGATGATGAATTAATCTCTCAGCACAGACGACTTTAAAAGCCCAGTGCGAGCTGCACTTACAGGTCATGATTCTCATGTTTGTCAATGTGTCTACGTTGGAGAGAGATCACGTTCAGTATCAGACTTTCATGCCACAGATTTGAAGAAAGAATCCAGAGAATCAGCTGAAAACACGCTGCTCTGTTTCTATACGTCTAAAGCAGCCATGAAAGGTTAACTCCCTGCCTGAGCCCCTCGGGGCCCCCACTCTCATGCCACCTCAACCCCCCCTCCTCTTTCACTCCCTCCTCCTAGCTGGTAGCATGAAAACCTGTTTGGGGACAGTGCATCTGCTCCCTGTGCACAGTGGCATGAAATGGCATAAGTCCCTCCAATCTGCTCGGTCCCACTCCCCGTTCGAGACAAAGAGGCCGTCTCCCTACGCGCTGGGCTGGAAGGGACAGACGTGGACGGAGAGGGAGGCAGCAGCAGCCTCGGCGCTGCCACGGCCCCTGGCAAAGTGGCCGCGGCCCCGTTTTACACCTGATTAGGAAACACATGCAGGGCCACTAGACATATGCTTCCCCAGCCACACCACGGTCCCTGACGGATGGGCAACACATGGAGGAAAAAGGGCGGAAAAGGCCAGACGACGTTCTCTGGGAATTCCCAGGGCAGTGTGTGTGTCGGAATACCAGCACAGGATTAAAGCAGCGAGGTATAAGGACAGAGGAGCAGTGTAAGAGCAGAGATGGATTCTTCTTATAGTCATGAGACTGAATCAGCCTTTTACATGTAAATAATGAGGTGTTTTTCCTTGTTGTCAATCAGTTTCCTCTCTAATAAAACAGGGCTAGTATAGACACATTTAAAACAACCAGAACATGACATGACTAGTCCTGATCCAAGACTGATAAAGAAAATGCTCATTTGTGATTTTGAGAATCTCCAGTCCAACATTAACTTATGGAAAGCAACATAAAAAAAAAGACGTTTGCTTGTTTACTGGATTAAAATTGCCAAATTTTGCTTTTCACGATACACCAACTTTTCCACCTCAGTCAAATGTAAACCTCTTTCTTTTTTCTTTTTTTTTTTTTAGCAATTTTTCAGTTTTCAGTATTTCCATTCAGGGTTGTCATGTGCAAACTGACAATGTGAATTAAAACAGGTGGATAAGAGCGAGAGCTACATATCATACATAAAAACATTATATGTGTAACTTAAGTTAAAAATATAAAATTATTTTTCACAAAGCAGAAATCAGTTATTTGCTTCTTAATGAGGTAAGTGACACAGTCACCTTTGACCCCTCACCTCTGACACTGAGACGCCCGTGTAGAGGTCCGTCCACAGCCACCAGGTAGACGGCATCGATGTTGTCGTTGTCGACTATCTGCAGCTCCTCCCAGGTGATTGGTCTGGACTGACCCTCCAACAGGTCCAGACCTGAGACACCAGACATCAACTGTTACTAAACAACTAAATGAACTGAACTTTGGCATCATGTGGTTTGTCGAGCTGCCACTTCACTCATGTTCTCAGCAGGTATACAGTGAAAACATGTTACTGAGAGTGAGACCATCTGTTGTGATATTTATGATGTACCCATGTTCCAGGAGACTCTGGGTGCATTTGTTTCAGTTGCCCTGATGGAGATGTGGACCATGATGGGTGGGCTGGTCACATAGAAGCCGTCTATAACCTGGAACTCCACCTTAGAGAATATATAGGGACAGATACAAGATATATACGTAGCAGAAAATGCCATTTACGTCCACCTTGGTTTAGTTAAGTACTAACCTCTCAGTGACCTTGGGAGTGACCTCAGTAGATGTGAGCACCATCATCAATCCAGCAGCTCAAAAAAATGTCTCTTTAACAGAAATCCACCACATAAAAAAGGTGGGCCTTTCAGTGTGTTTGTGGTCATCACAGGCATCACCAGAGGCTAGCTGCCCACAAACCTAAAGTAGTATACTAGCTAGCTAGCTCACCAACCAGAAAAGCAGATTTAAAAATAGTTACACCAGCTATATAATACTGTGTATTGACTGAGAGCAAACCAACCCACAGGGCTTTGACAGCCATTTTTATAGTAAGCTAAGAGGAGACAGATATTATCAGGAGCCATTAGCTGATTTAGCTAATGGTCCAGTTTACATCACACACAAGGTTCACTAAGATCAAGAATTAATCCTAATTAACAATAATGTTTATTTTTTGCTGCTATTTGGGGCTACAAATGCAGCTATATATATATATATATATACATATATCATTGGAGGGAGATATTGATTTTCTATGTTTTCAATCATTAGTATAACCTCCCTTACCTCATAGTTCCTGCGGTGTGATTGGCTGCTGTTGGGCGGCTGGTAGCCCACTTTCATCTCGTGGAGGTCCGACCAGGTGAAAGACCTGATAGGCTTGGTGTGGTCGTCCAGGTGGGTGATGTAGCCCTCAGCGGGAGGGACGGTCACGTTGAAAACCAGCCTCTCCTGCGGCGTCTCGTGGTCCTTGGCGTCCAGCGCGGCAGTGGTGAGCGGGGTGAGGATGAACTGGTCCACCTCCAGGATGAAGGAGGCCATGAAGGCGGCCTGGGGGGGCTGGTTCTGCATCGCACCGTGGATCAAAACCGGCAACCATACCGCCTCTGTCTGGGAGCGAACAAAGGGAAGGTGGAAGCGAAGATAAAAGATAAAGTTTCCACTTCACTTCTCCTTGGCTTTCCTTTTTCCAGTGTGTGCAAATCTGCATTTCCTTTAGGACACAAATGTACATTCTAACACAACATATAGCACATAGAAATCAACACATACAGCTACTACTTCTGCTGTTACATGTGGTGTCGAAGAGTAAGCACCACAATATACAATCAGATGTGTTAAAAATGACAGGTCTTTGTAAGAAAGAGACACTTTTCATGTGCTAATGAGGAGAGAAAAAATGGTTTTAACATTTAGGATATTTGGAGCCCTCTAAACCCCAGCAGAACCTTCTGCTCCACATCCTCCACATCCACAGAGCTGAGAAAAGTACATGGAAGTGGGATGTCACCTTCTGACTGCCAATAAACCTCTCAATGTCTGAGACGCTCATCTTGTCTGGAAAACGTCACCATCCAACTTGGATATGACAGAATCTGCTGTTTAACTTGTTCAACTAAAAGTCTGTTGAGTAGATTAACTACACGTCTTCTCTACACTGGATGTCACATTGGAATAATATCAATATTATCTTCATTTAATTTCTTCCAGGTTCATTTCTGATTTATCCCGTACCTCCAGCAGGGCCCTGGTGGCCTGGTCCCTCAGCTCCACCCTAATGGGAATGTAGTCAATCTCAGGTGACGGAGGGCTGAGGTGCTGGTACTTCAGACCGGAGGTCAGGAAGTCCTGGCAGCCGGTCTTGAGGAAACGAACCTCCTTGGTGTCATGAAGACAGGGTTTGTTTCCAGGACAGAGCGCTGCTGTCTCTCTGCCTGAGGACAAACACGGTGGCAAACAGAGGGTTTAAAGACAAAACTGACTGTAGAGCATCAGGAGCAAACCTGCAGTTTCAGGTGGTGGATACATAAAATATCAAGCATGAAAGCATTTAAAATGTTCTGTTTTAAAATGTTCTATTTCATTTTGTATTGTCAAATATTTATTTTTATTTGTGTGTATTGTTGTTTTATTAGTATTATGTTTTTTTTATTTTTATTTTTTTTTATATTTTGTTTTGTGTTCCATTTTTTATTCTCTATTTCATATTATTCTTAATTTATTTTCTTAATCATTTTTTTAATTGTATTTATTTTTTTATTGTTTACCCATGTCTTATTTAATTAATTTTAATTTAATTAACATTTTTATCTTATTATTTATTTTTTTATTTTCTTCAGCGCATTTTACCTTTTCTCACTGGTTTTGTTGTTTTATTGTAAAGAGCTTAGTAACTATGTTTAGAAAAGTTCTACATACTGTTAATAAAGTTTGTTTAATATCACTATTATTATCATTATCATTATCATTATGATTACATCTCATGGTGAGCTAATGGTAAGTGTTTAAATCCATTTATCTAATTTATGTTGATGATGTTATGTTGTATATTGTTTCAACAAATTAAAATCATGATGTTGTTAAATTCAAAATAAGAAAATAATTGAGTGATTTTCAAATAAATCATCTACTAAAAATTAAAAATTTGGTTGGGGAGCTAACAAGCTAACTGTGTACTCCTAACTCCTCCTCCATGTTTGTAAAGTGAGTTGTAGTCAGTTTAACACCTGGTTACTGGTTAGTTTCACCTGAAAGCTAGCGACAGTAGTGATGCTTCAGTACTGTTGCTATGGTTACCAGCAATTCGACATACCAGAGCACCACTTCGGAACAGAAGCTTAACTGTTGACCTGATCTGTGACTGTATACCAATGCGTAATGTGTCCAGGCGTGACGTACTCTTCCTCTGGGTGGAGTCCTCTTCCCTCACCAGCTGACCCAGAGCGGGAACGTTCGTGTCGGTGGTCATCAGTCTGACGGTGCAGACCAGGTCTGCGGCGGTCCTGATGCTGAGAACAGAGCTGTCGATGGCGTTGGATAAACCGTGGAACTGTGGAACCACCAGAGGAGCGCTGCCCAGCTCCACCACACCAGACCCCGAGTCCACCACCCGCACCAGCAGAGCCACAGTCTCCACCAGCGTGTCTGAAGACGTGAACCTGCACACCGATACCATACATCATGTTAGAAGAGATCCTTTAGACAGAGTTTAAGCTACTCAGTTTATACTCCTTTATAATGCTCAGTTAGCTAGATGACCAGTTTACCAAAGTTTCTCTATTGTCACCAAAATAAAAAGCTGATGAATGAGGTGAATCATCACCAATGAAAATCACCAATAATACAGAAATTCACTAAAACCATTTGCACTGATTTTTAACTTACCATAAAGGTTGTTGGTGCATTGGCAGAAGCTTCTTTGCATTTCTGCTCATTTACTCTTTCTACATTGATTCGTCAATTCTGAAACCCAAGATCAATCTTAGTATCTGAGCCTTGTCCTACGCTTAGAGAAGCAGACTTGGGACCAAAAGATTGACGGTTCGAATCCCTGGTCCGGCAGGGAGGGTAAGGGAAGTGAATGAATAGCGCCTTCCCTTCCCCACCACCTAACTTCCCAACTGCTCCCCTGGCACTGCACCACTGGTGCCCACTGCGTGCGTGTTCACTACTTATGGATGGTTTAAATGCAGTGTGCGTAAACATACGAGGACAAATAAAGAATTAACTGAACTAACAATATCTGATGTAATTGAATCTATTAAATCAAATGTGGAGCTCAGAGCCAATATCCAGAGCTGTACATGAAACGTATACATAGCTGTTTATTGTAAACTGGTAGTTATCACTGGCGTCCTGCAGCATTGTAAAAACCAATGAGCTCCGACAAGTGTTTTACATCATCTCTGATTATATAACATGATCACTAACTGTTTAAATGACACCTACTTTAACTTGTACAACAATTACTACTGCTGCAACTGTAAACATTACCACTACAACCACTGCTGTTGTACTAATACTACAGCACTAATGCTGCCACTGCTCGTATTAGTGCTAAACTCAGTTGCTAACTAACCTGTAGACTCTGAGCATCACCGTGTCCTCGTTCAGCAGGGGGCTGCCGTTGTGGACGTATTTTATCTCGTCCTCCAGGAAGCTGCAGTCAAACACCTGCAGACAAAACCCAGGAACACCATTGTACCTGTTCTGTTTGTTTGTACCAGTTAGCTTCACACTGTGATAGACATGTTATCATTACAGCAGGTGTGTCCCCACCTGTGGAGTCAGCCTCCCCACTCTCTGAGTGACGGGTTCATTCATCACCACCTCCACCTTACAGTCTGCGGTCGGATCCACGTTGACCTTCAGCTCCTTCTCCGTGATGAACACTGAGCGACCTCTGGCGACCTCCACGCCAGAGTTTACCACAACCAGACTCCCGCTGCAGACAGACATCACCGCCAGGAGCAGCAACACGTCGAGAGCAGCCATGTTAGGATCAGTGGGGGCGTCTTTGTTTCACAGGTTCAGGAGAGAAAAGTTGTTCTGAGGGAAAATTGTGAATCACAGCTGATGGAGAAAGAAGGTCTCAGTGTTTCAGCATCTTCCAGTCAGTCTGCCTCGGCCCTCGTCCTCATCTCTCCTCCAGAGTCTCTACAGCCTGCAGAGGAGAGAGGAGCTTTAAGAACAAACAACCACAACAAAGTCGGCTTTATCTTTATCTTTATCTGTGAAAGAAACTATTTTCATAAAACCATGGATAAATTACTGAATACCGTGCACAAACCCAAGGACAAATGGACCTGGATGTGTTCGAGACCTTTCTTCTGACCTTATCCATCACCTAATCTTCTTTACTTTTCACCCAACATTTCATTAAACCTAAAATTTGTAGCTTTTATCTCTGTGTTTGGTCTCCACCAGCTCCTGAGGGAAATATCTGGCTCTTCAGCTGCTAAATGCTCCACTATGTTCATCAGCTGCTGTCTGACCGAGTCTGTCTGCTGTTTGCTGCTCGGCACGTAGAGGTCAAAGGGTTTATCAGAGCAGCTGGAAACACCAACACCAGACAGGAACTGCACCGCAAAAACCAAAACTAGAAGCTAAAAGAGGCTGAACAGCTGCTGCAGAGTTGGTGACGAATCTCTCCGCAACAAGCGACAAGAAGAGGTGACTAACGTTCTTTGCAGTCTTTACAGGTCAGATCTGATGCAGTCAAAAGCCAAAGCTGTAAACCCAACCTTTGACCTTTCCCAGCACAGAAGCTTCTTACCTCAGCCCTGAGTCTAATAAGTTTATCTGTGTCATTAATACTTACAACAAAAATCCTGAACAGCTCCAAACCTTCCCCAGTGCCACAGTTTACCCCCTAAAACTCTTGATTTTTACTGGTAAATTACTCAGCTCTGAGTCCGCTCGACTGCCTTTAGCCAGCACCAAAACTCCTCTAAATCCTCCAAACCCTTAAAAAAAACTCCCAGCATGCAGCTGGCTGGCCCGGCTTCTTCCCCCGCTGCTCCACACTCCTGGCCGGAAAACGCTTTCACCCTCCATTTCACTTCAAACCAAAGCCCACTGCAGGAAACAAGAGGTTAATCTGCGTGACCCCGCAGAGGTGCTGGAAGTGGCATGGGACGGGCTGAGCGGGGGGAGGGGAGGTGTTCCCAGGATCAAAGCAGGGCACCAGCTGGAGCCGGCGTGTCACTTCCCATCCAGCCAGACGAGCATCGGTTCGTTAGTTTGAGGTTTCAGCTGGATGTGTGTTTAACCTCGGCTGCAGCTCGGTGAGAATGCGGCGCTCAGGAAAATCCACAAAACCTTTTGAAAACTTTGTGAAAATTCTGTTGAGGATTTTATTTTGCCAACAGCTTAACAGGCAGTTTTGGACACACTCCAGTCCAGTGTGAACCAGCTGGGGGGGGGGGGGGGCCTTACGTGTTACATGACCTCAGACTCCACAGGTTACTCCATGACTTCTTCCTTAAGACAAGGGTATCCATCAGAACTGCCTGTTGATTGACAAACAGCTTCAGAAGCATCAGGTTGTGTGTGTGTGTTGGCTGTAACCT